ACTTTCAGAAACTTTGGTGAAAAATTTTACCACAATGTTCATGAAATATATCCATGGGAAGGTTTAATTACAGGGTTAGTTTGACTTAAGAGAACAATTTTTAATCTCAAGCTTCAAAATCAAACGTAAATATGAATTATGTAACGTTTTGGGGGGTCCTGATTTTCGTAGGATTTTAGTAGGATTTTCAAAGGATTTTAGTAGGGTTTTCGTAGGATTTTCATAGGATTTTAGTAAGGTTTTCGTAGGATTTTGTAGGATTTTCTTAAGATTTTCGCATGATTTTGACAGGATTTTAGTAGGATTTTCGTAGGATTTCACGGTAACTCCTAATAAATGAGACTAAAGACACGGTGTTTAGATACGGGGTGAAATTTCAGTGCCATTTCGGTGTCACTCTAGCGGCCAAAGTTTGCGTCATTACGTCACTTAGTAGTCAGGTAAATTGCTTTCTCATGTCTCTACTTAAGGCGAAAATTTACCTCATGAAAATGTACTCAACGCATCTGTACTCGGGGTCACCTGTACTCGGGGGCACCTGTACTCGGGGTCACCTGTACTCGGGGCATCTGTACTCGAGGCCACCTGTACTCGGGGCCACCTGTACTCGGGGGCACCTGTACTCGGGGCCACCTGTACTCGGGGCCACCTGTACTCGGGGCACTGGACACCAACACGGTTAAGCTCTCTGATTCACCTGCCGCTGTTAAGTGCTCTTGTTAATTATGGACGAGGCGCTATAAGCCTACCTGGGTGTTAGGCTTACTGATAGCATAGTGGTGGTGGTAGTAGTGGTGGTGATGGTGGTGGTAGTGGTGGTGATGGTGGTGGTGGTGATGGTGGTAGTGGTGGTGATGGTGGTGGTAGTTGTGGTGATGGTGGTGGTAGTTGTGGTGATGGTGGTAGTAGTGGTGGTGATGATGGTGGTAGTAGTGGTGGTGATGGTGGTGGTAGTGGTGGTAATGATTGTGGTAGTAGTGGTGAATGACCTGATAATTCAACACCCTAACACCACGTGAAATAATCTTGGCTGTCTATTCTTCAAATAATCCGAATTATTAGTAATTGAACCAATTATTAACATTACATTAAGTCGTGTTTATATCCTGAGAAATAATGACTAGAAAAACGTACATTAAGTCAGCGAATTATTTTAACATTATTTGGATGAATATTTTGGAGAGACACGTATTTGTATTAGCATATTGTTGAACGATAATACTTGACTTTCAATAATTAATGGTTTTAAGAGCGTATGCAAATTAGATCATATGTTAAACTGTCCATATCTACAATCATTCGGGATATTCTGGTTAAGATGAGTATTGAAAGTCATAATACATCACTTAACTTCAACAGGTAAGGTCTATGCGTATGGTAAGTTCGCCTTTACACTCCTCAACGAATAAAAATTACGAAAGGTAGAAATGTTTTGTGATAATGCAAGTTGCTGTTTTGTTCTTTCATTTTAGTTCCACGCTAACTGTCATATTATTATGTAAGCTTAAAATCTCATATTCTTTACTATCTTTTCAATGCCATTTGGTATCTTATTATTTAATTAATCTTTAACAATAAGCTTGGTTCGTTGATCTTACGTCATGATTTGTTTACTTGCGTTTCCATTAAAATTACGGACATTCCTCATTTAAAATAGTTAGCGGTAAATGGTATCCCGTTTTCTGTCTCCATTTACTGATACCCGTTTTCTTTGTAATTTATCCGACGACGAGAAGAAACAGCGAAAACAACGATTTGAAATACAGGACGAAATAAGACAGAGTGTACTCACCGAAAGCTTTTGGTGGTTGTATTGAATGCGCGTATAGAGGAACCAGCAGTCCATTACACACCAACTGTAGGCCGCTGACTGACACACAAGCCGCCACAACATTGAATCAGGCACAACAAAACGAGCTTAAGTCACTCTCATTCCCCAAGGGCCTACAGAACATCTGGTATCGGTGGTGAAGGAGGTGCTGAAGGAGGTGAAGAAGAGGTTGTCACGTCAAACGCTGGTCTATGTGTCATCTAGGCCGTACTAACACTCATTACAACACCAGAGCCTATTTTCTTTAATAAGTCATGTCCTTGTGTTCTGTACTAAACGTATAACATACAAAGTTATCACTGCTTTTGTTTATTTTGAGTAAAAACGTTAAAAATCATTCCACACACTAACGAACGACCAGCTGGGAATTTAACTGAATTGGTAAACAAAGGCTCCGACTACTCACCTGGTGTCACGCAACTTTTTAGACCAATCAGGTGCCGGACGAGTTCCAGACGTGGTCTCTAGTGCGCTCCTCGTCCACACATAATCCTGAAAATCAGAACAAATGGTTTAGATTGGTTTATTGTCGCTGTGGATAGTGTGGTTTAGCGAGGGTTTAAAGTGTACGTTTTGTGTATATAGAGAATAAATGGTGTTTAGATATAAGAACGAATATGCGTAAAATTAATAAAAGCAACTCATATTTCACGTGAGACCAGCTAACTAACCACAAAGTTATTATTTAGTATTAATAATGTAAAATTGAGGGAATGAATGAATTTGTAAATATTTTGAATGTGAAATTATGAAAAAAAAGGAATAACATCAACTTATCTTTCAATCTAATGTTGGGTTTTTTCATTGCAATATTCAACAAACTTTCATCAATGTTACGGATCTTCTATTGCAAAATTAAAATAGACCATTGCATTAAACTTTTGTGGGTTTTATCTATGAAAATGTTTTACTGTAGTCGATATCAACGTCCACAGCTGTGAAATAATTCTGTGCTGGTGAAATTGGTTTATGTAAACACCATTGGTTATGTTGGGAGGGGAGTGATGGAAGAGAGAGAGAGGGGCAAGAGGAAGAGGAAGAGGAGGAAGAGGAAGAGGAGGAGGAGGAGGAGGAAGAATAGGAATAGGGAAACAGTGAGAGAGAGAGAATTAGTAGAAAGTGAGACAGGCAGACAGATAGACCCAAGACAACTCCTGTATAATATTCAATTACTGTTTGCTGAAGGGTAACTTAATATTCACGAGAAATAAAACTCACTCAGGCAGTAGAGAGTGTGTGTGTGTGTGTCTGCTCGCATGATTAAATTCTTGTCTCAGGACCGACCCGTCATCTGTTATTAATGTGTTTGTGGTATTATTATTATTATTATTTTTATTATTATTATTATTATTATTATTATTATTATTATTATTATTATTATTATTATTATTATAGTCCAAAGTTATACCTCATGACTCAGTACAACAAAACCCTTGCTGAATCGAACAATATCTCAAAAATTAGTGATTAATGGAAGAACTACCGATAAACTATTAGTGACGAGGAGCAGTGTGTGTGGTGATTGATGGTGACTGTGTGGTGATTGATGGTGGTGATTGATAGTGAGTGTGTGGTGATTGATGGTGTGACTGTGAGGTGGTGATTGATGGTGACTGACTGTACGGGGCTGATGGTGAATGAATGTATGGTGATTGGTGGTGAATGGTGATAGATGGTGAATGATCATGTGATGATTGATGATGGCTGTCTTTATAGAGATTGATGGTGAATGATTGTATGGAGGTGTAACCAGGAGTGAAATACGTGGAGTTACAGGTGATTATAGGTGTTAATTGTGTTTGGTGGTGTAGGGGGGTGAGTTATGGTCCGCTGGGGTGTGTTAGTATACAGGGGAGTGTAGTGGTGTTGATAGGTGTAGTAGTGGTGTTGAAAGGTGTAGTAGTGGTGTTGATAGGTGTAGTAGTGGTGTTGATAGGTGTTTGTATTGTTCATATATAAACGAATTATATATACGTGTGACTATATACATTAACTCCCACTAGTGTACCTGTCCACTTAATTAAGGACACACACACACACACACACACACACACACACACACACACACACACACACACACACTCTGCCTACCTTATTTTCCCCCTGTAATTTGTACTGTACTTAGTAAATCAAGGCCCGGTGAGAAGCGTAATAATCGACGGCCGAGGCCCCTTAGAGTGGATAATAACTTCAGGCTTGAGGTCCCCTTAGGCAGCGTAATGAGTGAATACCGAGGCCCCCACCTGGAGCATAATATATAAACACTAAAAGCCTTAACAAAAACTCTTTTATATGAGAAGAAAAAACCATATCTCCTAATTACGTACAGTAACTTAGTAAACAAGATTATGTGCGAGAGGACGTGTTGACAGAGGCCCTGTAGGGAGGATAATGAATGGGGTTTTAGGCCCTGTAGAAAGCATAATTAAAAGTAAACAAAGTCTAGATATTTTTGTATCCATTCTCCCCATACCATTACGCTCCCGCCTCTACAGTAAACACACTTGACTACCCAAACCCCACGCTGCCTTGCCAACCTTACACCCGCCTCCACAACCCCCCACAACGTTAAAGAATAAAGAATATACATCGTCATTACTATATAAACGGCCCCTCCGTCCACATTAACCACCCCACCGAGAAGCTGACAAATTAGTGTAAATATCTGACACTTAAATTTACATAATAATGAGGTTTAAAAATACACAGATAAAATATATTTGCTTTCAAGGGGTGAGGGTGAGGTCACGGGGTGTAGGGGAGTGTATTACGGTGTACATTGTGTTGAGTGTTGTGTAGTGGAGGTGTGATGGGGTGTCATGAAGGGTCGTTGACTGCTTCGTTAAACATTTGTGTAGTTTAACGAGGAGTTGTCTCCCTCGTTTACATATTTCCCTGGTGAAAGGATCGAGACCTCTGAAATAAAGGTGATAATTTTGAACCCGAGGAGATGGGGACAATGGGGGAGAAAGGGAGAGATAGGGAAGAGAGAGAGAGAGAGAGGAGGGGGAGGTGGAGACAGGGAGGGAGGGAGAGAAAGCGGGGGAGGGGGGTACAGAGAGAGAGGAAGGGAACCTAACTTAACCAAACCATAACTAACATAAATTACTTGAACTTAATCAAGATCATCTCACAGGTAAACAATAACACGTGTTTGTCTTTCCTACAGGTAGTGGCTAATGAGGCCAGGATGCCCTCCCACCTTCAGGAGAACACCACGCCTCCACCACGAGTCGCCTCCACCATCTCCTCCTCCACTGAGACCCAGAAGTATGGGGAAAGGCCTCCAACACCTCCATCTCCTGTCCAACACCTCACTCCACCTCCAAAACCTCCTCCTCCACCGCTACCTACAAGTTTGAGGGGACTTCTTCAGTTAGCTCCTGAAGAGGCCGTGAAGGTGGAGGCGGAGTGTAGTGTAGGAGATGATGGTGAGGGGTTGGATGGTGATGATGGGAGTAGGGATGGTGAGTGTTGTTTTGATGGTGATTGTGGTGATGGTACTGCTCCTTAGAATGATAATGATGATGTTGATAATGATGATGAAACTAAAAGTAATAATAATAACTAAATTTACAACTTTTATAAATACCCACAACACGACTCATAATAAATGAACAAACCCCCCAAAATATAAACATCAACATTACTTGTACAAACACATAAACAATCAAAAAATAGCAATCCCTAATTAACCATCATTAACACCTGTTCTCACCTGTAAACAACACACCTAAACAGCTGACTTCCACAATAAGACAAACTTTTAAACCAATTATAAAAGTTATGAAAAAATATCAAGTTCTTTGTTTTATTTTTACTTACATTTCATAAAGGCTTTTTGCCCCCAAGTACACACCTGTATTTCCGTCTATCTATCTATCTATCTAAATCAGTGTCTCTGTGCATGTCTATTAATCAAATCACCTATCTATCATCAATTACCTCTATCACACACACACACACACACACACACACACACACACACACACACACACACACACACACATTATTACTACATGTTTCACCCCTCCACACTCTTCCACCACTCCATCCCATTACCCACACACCTCACCCATCATACACTCACATTCACCAGTATCCCCATCTCTGATCCCAGCCATTCACAGGGGCTTTAATACCAATAATTACGGAGCATTGGTGAAATATTTGACCAGGATATTACATAGGTTGTGTGTAATGAAACGCTTGAGTCTGCGTATAATTTATCTACTCTCTCTCTCCAGGTTGGTGTCATCAGACGTATGAAGGGAAGACGTGTTGGCCAGCCACTCCCCCGCATACGCCTCTGTACCCTGCCCCTCCTCCCCCCTCACCAATTCCTCCAGTGAGTAGTAGTAGTAGTGTGTGTGTGTGTGTGTGTGTGTGTGTGTGTGTGTGTGTGTGTGTGTGTGTGTATGTGTGTGTGTGTGTATGAATGTGTACATATATATTAATTAATTACAAATATCAATAATGAGTTAATTAACCTGTTACTGATAAAGACAAACAACTCATCAATTAGTGAGTTATTAAAGGTAATTATTCACGTGACTCCAGACGAAGCCTCGAGATACTGTGGTCTAGATGGTCGATGGCAGCCAGAGTATGTCGACTTCTTACCCTGTACTACTGGTGACATATTTAAACAGGTGAGTGACTGTCTGTCTATCTGTCTGTCTCTCTGTCTGTTTGGATTACTATCAGTCTGTCTGTCTCTCTGTCTGTCTGTTTGGATTACTATTAGTCTGTCTGTCTGTCTGTCTGTCTCTCTGTCTCTCTGTCTGTCTGTTTGGATTACTATTAGTCCATCTGTTTCATCGTCTGTCTGTCTGTCTGTCTGTCTGTCTGTCTGTTTGTTTGGATTACTATTAGTCCATCTGTTTCATCGTCTGTCTGTCTGTCTGTCTGTCTGTCTGTCTGTTTGTTTGTGTCTAAGAGTGTTGCGTGAATTGCTAAATACTCTTATATTGTGTAGATGCATACTGTATACCCGTACATGTATATACGCTTAGACATACAATTACACATACTTCAATACGTAGACACATACACACACACACACCAAAATAATAATACAAAAAAAACTATTCTAAAACATACATCCCGTGACCTCTCTGATATCCTTCCCATCCTATACTATATCGCTGACATCCTACTACCACCTCTGCTTCGCCTCCTACAGCCTGAAGACATGTCCTCACTCAACCGGACACTGGACATGGAGGGACACACCACTACCCTCCTGGAGACAGTCATCGATGCCCGCTACCAGTTGTGTGTCCAGCTGATGAAGAGTGTCCCACAGCCTCCTGACGGTGAGTAGAGTGTCCCACAGCCTCCTGACGGTGAGTAGAGTGTCCCACAGCCTCCTGACGGTGAGTAGAGTGTCATACAGCCTCCTGACGGTGAGTAGAGTGTCCCACAGCCTCCTGAGGGTGAGTAGAGTGTCCCACAGCCTCCTGACGGTGAGTAGAGTGTCATACAGCCTCCTGACGGTGAGTAGAGTGTCCCACAGCCTCCTGACGGTGAGTAGAGTGTCATACAGCCTCCTGACGGTGAGTAGAGTGTCCCACAGCCTCCTTGACGGTGAGCAGAGTGTCCCACAGCCTCCTGACGGTGAGTAGAGTGTCCCACAGCCTCCCTGACGGGCGAGTAGAGTACCCAGCCTCCCTGACGGTGAGTAGAGGGGTCCCACAGCCTCCTGATTTATGAGTAGAGTGTCCTGGCCATGCCTCCCTGACGGCAGAGTAGAGTGTCCCACAGCCTCCTGACGGTGAGCAGAGTAACCCACAGCTCCTCGACGGTAAGTAGAGTGTCCCACAGCCTCCTGGATTTGGTGAGTAGAGTGTCCCACAGCCTCCTGACGATGAGTAGAGTGTCCCACAGCCTCCCTGACGGTGAGAGTAGAGTGTCCTACAGCCTCCTGACGGCGAGTAGAGTGTCCCACAGCTCCTGACGGTGAGTAGGAGTGTCCCAGCAGCCTCAATCAGAGTAGGTCCCAGAAACTCCCTCTCTCTCTCACGAAAGCCTAATATAATGTAATTAATGGATTTAGACATATCCTCCTGGCAGGTGAGACATAATTAAACTAAGCACAGAAGGTAAACACAAAGTCAATTATTTCTTTAGTAATATTTCAAGGAAGCGTGTTGTTGTTGTTGTTGTTGTTGTTGTTGTTGTTGTTGTTTTTGTCATTTCTTGCCAACAAGTAACCCGTATTAATCCTTTTTAATTATAATGTTATAGATATTTTTTCCCACTTAATTCCCGTATAATTATAGAACGTGTTAAGAGTTAGTGATGGGTGTTGTTATATAAGTCCTCTTTTGGTGAAATTATACGTGTAATTAGCTGGATGTAACAAACGCTTATGAGGAATCCGGATTTAAGACGCCGAGAATCCAGATTACAAGAACGCCTTCCTTGTTGATGCTGACGACTTTAGTCATTAAAGAGGAGAGCTGTTCTATTCTCGGTCACCCTACAGCCTCTCTCAGCCTGGCGATCCATTAGATAAATCAAAGCTTCTCTCCTTGAATCGCCTTTAGTGTGTCGTCCATGGAGCAAACACACTCCAGCTGACAACTTTGGCGGGAGAAGAGTGTATGAATGACGAAAATATTCCAGGGCGATTGATTCTTTGAGAGACACAGAGACACAGAGAGACACACAGAGAGACAATCTTACTCTCAAGTCTGGCTGCACCTCGAAGCCTCGTCTCTGTGGTAGAGACATTACTTATAAAAAAGACCCTCCCTCGCCAGGGACGGGAAAGACGTGTGTTAATGCCTCTCAACTATAGGAGATAGATAGAGAGAAACTACACTGGCAGGGAAAAGGATAATCAGAACGTACTTCAAGACAACGACACACTTAAGTCTATCATCAAAGTGTGTCAACTGAACGTCAGATGAGTGTATTAGCCTTGGTGTTGATTTACCTGATCGAATGACAGGTAGAGGAGGAGGAGGAGGAGGAGGAGGAGGAGGAGGAGGAAGAGGAAGAGGAAGAGGAAGAGGAAGAGGAAGAGGAAGAGGAGGAGGAGGAGGAGGAGGACTAAGGTATGTTCTCTGACAAAAAAAAAACTCTCCTTAACCTCCGAATTGCCGGACAAGTTAAGGATGGTTTCAAGAAGTTTATGTTCACCTTTGACCTGTAGGTATTGGTTAAGGGATTCCTCTTGGCTGAAAGTGAAAGGAAGATTACCTGCTGATGGATTTTTTCTAGGAGATTCTGGGACACAACAGCAGACAACAGACAGCAGAAAATAGACAACAGACAAAAACAGCAGACAGCAAATCATCAAACAAAGGACAAAAGACAGAGAATAAAACAGAGAGCAGATAAAAAAACAGGAAAAAGCAGAGAGCAGAAAAGAGACAGCAAACATCAGACAACAAAAAGCAGAGAGCCCAAAAAATAGACGAAATCGCTGACAGCATAAAACAGAGATTAAGCCCTTAGTTTCTGCCGCCACCCAACAATTTATGGAGTCTTATATCTACGTCAGGCAGCTCTTGACCATTAATTCAGGGTGAAGTTAAGTTCCCTGGAGGCGGGAGTGGGCGGGAGTTGGAGGGTGGGGGTCAAGGGGTGAGTTAGAGTGGTGTTGGGTGGACTGAAGTTATGTGTGTGTGTGTGTGTGTGTGTGTGTGTGTGTGTGTGTGTGTGTGTGTGTGTGCGTGCGTGTGTGTGTGTGTGTGTGTGTGTGTGTGTGTGTGTGTGTGTGTGTGTGCGTACTGAGGTATACATGTGTACACTTATCTCAACACAGAAGCGACTTTGAAGACATTATTTCGACACATGAGTAAAACTTTTAATTATACTAAACTCACATAAAAATAATCCTGAATGAAGGTACACACCCATTTCATTCACTGGGTTACATTACACGGTTACAGTAATTACATTTACATAATATAGTTATCTAATGCTGCAGGTGAGACTCAATTTAGCACCTGTGTTTTATGTAAAGAGGTAATTTGGTTATCTGTTTATTAAGGTATTTTAGCTCAAGCCAGGTAATTCAGTGCTGTTTTTATATTCTGTGTGTGTGTGTGTGCTTATTATTATCATTATTATTATTATTATTATTATTATTATTATTATTATTAGTAGTAGTAGTAGTAGTAGTAGTAGTAGTAGTAGTAGTAGTAGTAGTAGTAGTAGTAGTGTAATAATAGTAGTAATAGTTGTAATTATCACGCGGTATAGTGAAACGTGGGTGGAGATGTCCGTAGACTTTTCCACCCTTGCTCTAAGGCGGCGAAGTGATCCTCAAGTTATCATAGGTCCCAAGCCACCCTATTCTTGGGGTCTACCAGGATTTTGGGGCCCATTCGATTACTATACATCAATGATAATGGCAGGGATGTAATAATAATAATAATAATAATAATAATAATAATAATAATAATAATAATAATAATAATAATAATAATAACAACAACAAAAACGATACTACTACTACTACTACTACTACTACTACTACTACTACTACTACTACTACTATTACTAATAATAATAATAATAATAATAATAATAATAATAGTCACTGACTAGAAAAACGAAAAGCCATTTCTGTCCCTGAGGTGACAGAGGAAAACAAAGGGGTTGTATCAGATGATAGGTAGGATGAGAGATAATGGTCTCTCTCCCTGTCTCTCTCTCTCTCTCTCTCTCTCTCTCTCACTTCTCTCTCTCTCACTGTCTTACTGTCTTTCCTTCCTCTTTCTTGCTTTTCTCTCTCTCTCTCTCTCTCTCCTCCTCTCTCTCTCTCTCTCTCTCTCTTTTGTTGGGATTGGTTTATGTTAAGTTTACTCTGGTTAGCTTAGGTTAGGTTAGATTAGGTTAGGTTAGGTTAGATTAGGTTAGGTTAGGTTAGGTTAGATTAGGTTAGGTTAGGTTAGATTAGGTTAGGTTAGGTTAGGTTAGGTTAGGTTAGGTAACAATCCAACACAAGGGAAGGTTCATCAGGTTACTCAAATGTTAAAGGTCAAAGTAAGACGACGCGTGGCTGACTTCCTCCCCTCCCTCCTGGCCTCTCACACCTTGGTACGGTACGGAGTCTATAGTTATGAGGTGAAAGAAGATTATTAGGGGTTGAAGGAAAAGTGGTGAAGCTGAAATACAGTAGGAGTAGAAAGAATCAGGGCTCAACCAGATCGCTTCATCTTTCCTATTGGTGTTTTATCTTTGTGTTGAAGGAAAATACTTTTATATATGAATATCTTCTGTTATGGGTGAGAAAAGATCTGTATTTTTTGTTATCAGTGTTGAGTCTTTTAAAAATCAAAATATTAAACATTCTTGTCAAAATATGTGAGTTGTTGTCAAAAATATGTAATCTCTAGTGAATACATATATACTTTTTGTAAGTATCCATTTCAAAATATGTAAAAAAAATATTATGTTTCGTAAGTATAAACATTATTTTAAGGTCTGTAATTTTCTCTTTATATAAAATTGTATAAAATATAGAAAAATTACAGATGAGTTTGGACAAATTTATTAATTTCTTAGTAGAACATTTAATTAATTTCAGAGTGAGTGAGTCAGTCAGTTAGTGAGTCAGTCAGTTAGTTAGTGAGTCAGTCAGTCAGTCAGGCAGTCAATCACAGAAACAGACAGACATAAATAAACAAACATCAACATCAAATCATCCTACACATACAACATCATCCTCTGACGTCATCAAGCACCACTAGCACAACAAACCGAGCCTAAAATTAACATATAAATCTCCTCTCTTCTCCCCCATCCACTTCTATTTAAAATCACAAAGCAAAATATAATTAAATAACAGTGTTTTTACTTTTTTAGTATTTTTGTTTCATCTGTATTCGTTTGACAGTTATATTTTTCGTTATATTTCTATGTAGGTTTAATAAATGTTTTTTAAAAGAATATTGAGGTGTTGGGGTGAAAACGAGTATGTGTTCCAATATTTTACATGTTTGTTTACTGATTTATCTTCTGGTTGTTATGGAAGCCGAAAATTGGAGGAGCTTAAGAACAAACGTAGAAAATGATTGGTTGACGGTTACTAAGGAATCCCAAAACAGATGGAAGTTAGCGGGTGGGTGATTATTACCTCTAAGAAAAGATAACACTAATAAATCCTCGTTATTTTCCATCTTTATTCCAAATTGATGAAGGGAATGGTTAATGGTGCCGCGGGAGGAACTTTGGCTAGTCAATTAGGTATATATAGAGACAAACAAACAGAGAGAGAGACAGATATAATGATAGAAAGTCTGATAGATAGAAACAAGAGAGAGAGAGAGAGAGAGGCAGAAGGACAGAAAGACAGACAGGAAGTCAGAGAGAAAGGGGAAGAGAATAGACAGATAAAGGGGAAGAGATAAAGAGTATGATAACAGCTTCACTTGAATAGATCCGTATCGACATTCACGACAGGGAGAGTGGAGGATTCTGATGGTCTGAATAATGATGAACTCTGGCTGTGTATAGGGGAGTGGTGTAGGGATCTGTAAGAGAGGGTGTAGATATCTGTAGGGGAGCTGTAGGCGTGTGTAGAGGTGGTTAAGAGAGGGGAAGTGTGTAGGGAAGGAGTGGAAGAGCGTGTAAAGGAGGTGTAGAGGTGTGTAGGGGAGGTGTAGGACTGTGTAGCGGTCTGTAGAAGAGGTGAAGAAATGTGTAAGACAGGTGTAAAGGTGTGTAAGAAAGGTGTAAAGATATAGGTGTAGAGGTGTTTAATTACATCCACCACACAACACATACATGACTCCCACCCTCCCTAGCACCACCAATAACCCGGATTTATTGTCACGTCTCTGGATCTATGTGAAACAATGCGCTTTATAAACAGTGAAGAGTCCAGGTGTTGATATATATATATATATATATATATATATATATATATATATATATATATATATATATATATATATATATATATATATATATAGAGAGAGAGAGAGAGAGAGAGAGAGAGAGAGAGAGAGAGAGAGAGAGAGAGAGAGAGAGACCAAACTTGGATATGTTCAACAGGAGAAAAATTACACTTTCACCTTTTTCCATTTTTTTGTCATTTCTGGCATAAAACTTGTTTATCTTTAATCTTGTTTTGGTAAGCCTGAACACATAGATCAATACACTCACTTATATACATACATACAGTCCACACAAAAACATATATATATATATATATATATATATATATATATATATATATATACATATATACACCGGTGTACATAACAGTTTATTACACACACACATGCTGTTATACACGACAGGGAAATATTATGACACAGGAGATATATTTTAATGATACAGCTGAAATGAAAAATATTTTGAGAAGATTATGAAAATATGAAATAAAACTCAACGTGACGTAGTGTGTGTGTGGTGGAGTGTCTGTCTGCCTGTCTTTCCTCTCTCTCTGTCTCCCATACACCATAATGTTCACTACACTAATCTTCACTATCCCCCCCCCAGGTGTAGTGTTCTGTCCCAGGACGTTTGACGGGTGGTCCTGTTGGAACGATACCCTGGCTGGCAACACGGCTTACTCCCCCTGTCCTTACTTCATTACCGGCTTCGACCACACGCGTGAGTATTGTAGAGGTGATTAGAGGGGACGTGTTGGAGGGCGGGTCATTAGGTAGAGGGCGGAGAAGGGAGATAGGAAGGATGGGAGGGGGGGAGTGATTTAAGGGAGGGGTTGGATGGAGGGTGAGTAGGTAGAAGGGAGGGGAGGGAAGGGGGGGTGAGTAGGTAGAGATCAGGGAGGAGGAGATGAAAGGGATTAGGTTAGGATAGAAAACAGACTAAAAGATTAGGAGGAAAAGTTTAATGTGTGTGTGTGTGTGTTCAGTTTCCTCACATCCTATCGTTGATGAAGAAAATTACCTGTATATTATCTTGTTATAGGAATTATTAGTCTTATGTAATATTTTTCTATAGAGGGAATTAAGTTGTTTACTGTTATTATTATCACTCCTAAAACACACCTGAATCTCCCCTAAATAACTGAAACTCCCCTAAAACACTTAATAATTCCCCTAAAACACACCTGTATCTCCCCCCCCCCCTCACAGGTATGGCCCATAAGGTGTGTAATGAGGACGGCTCCTGGTTCCGGCACCCTCTCACCAACAATAGCTGGTCTAACTACACCACCTGTATTGACCTGGATGACCTAATGGTAAGTGAGAGAGAGAGCTAAACAGACGCAGACAAAACCACAACAATGCCTCTTAACCTATGGCAAACACCACGACATCCAATATATATATACCAGATGCTCTCAAGAATTCATAACTTATAGCAAATAATCCCGACAGTATATAAACCACAATATTATATAACAAATGTCTTCAAAAACATCGTTAGTGACTGAAAACATGTGAGCATCAAAGTCCATTTATAAGTTTCTGATTCTTCATTTAGGGTAACATGGACGACAACACCGTAGATCGGGTATATGAATAACGACTATGATAGATAAAGAATATAGCATTATTATCCGTCCACTCCCCCGTACGCTTATCTTAGACATAGAAGAAATAAAAATAATAATAAAAATAAAAGTCAATCTGATAAATACATTAATATATCGTATACCAAAATATATAACAGCATCGAAAAACAAAACGAAGAACTCTCTCTCTCTCTCTCTCTCTCTCTCTCTCTCTCTCTCTCTCTCTCTCTCTCTCCATAACAGTGAACAGCCAGGTGGATAACACTGTCTGACTCTGACTACAAATTCCTTTTTGAAGTTTTTTCTTCTAAATTATTTGCTCTACAACCACAAATTCGAAACCAAAGAGAACAATTTATATGTATGCGTGAGTGTGTGTGTGTGTGTGTGTGTGTGTGAGTGTGTGTGTGTGTGTGTGTGTGTGATGACAGGTTGAATTTGTTGCTTTGTTCTGCTTCTATGTTAGTTTTTTTCTCCAATTTCCGGTCGTCTACCCGTACACACACACACACACACACACACACACACACACACACACACACACACACACCAGTTTGAAATATAAAATAAAAGAAACAATAGATAAAACTAGCAAAACATAAATAAATAGACAGACAGACAGAGAGAGAGAGAGAGACTACAGGTGTAACATACCTCTCTCCCTCACCTACAGATGCGGCAGCTCATTAACACCATCTACATCGCGGGTTACTCCGTCTCCCTCATCGCTCTCGCCATATCCCTCGTTATCTTCTTCCACTTCAGGTAAGATAACATCCTAACCTAACCTAACCTAATCTAACCTAATTATTTACGTCATCAGTAATACTCTAATTACCTGTTCAAATCACCTTAAATCATCTAATAACCCTTAATTACAAACTACAAGACCCTAATTCTTCACAAACTTCACACGACACCTGTTGAAAAACGATTTACGACAAAAAACAAGAAAAACTCCTAAGATGGATGTTATGAGAAACCACTTTTAAACCAACTTGTGAACTTTGTACCAACACACTCAAGTTTTCTCTTCCCTCAAAAACATTAAAAATTTTGTTTTCCATCGGCGTAAGTTTTAATTACCGTAACTACGATTTTTTTTATATATAATTTACCTGAAGGAAGGAAGGAAGTGGTAGACCAAGGTACTGTAGATGGTTTACTAAGACAAGCTATAGTGTAAACTGCATCTAGGTAAACTCTGACTTCATTTCATGTTTTTTTTTTTATCATTTGTAACACTACAGTGGAGGTGTATGTATCATAACATGTTCCTATAATCTCGTCTTGTGTGTCTATGTATCACCAGGAGCTACAGTGGGTCTTTCTGTATCATAACACAGCTCTGTAACCATTGTATCACCCACAACCCTGTATCCCCTCTGCAGTATATATCTATGTATCCCCCAAGCCTCTATTATGTATTCCTGTATTACAACACATCTTTCTCACTTATTTTATGTATCTATGTATCCCCCAGGACGCTGCAGTGTACACGTATCCGGCTACATAAGAACCTGTTCCTGAGTTTCATCCTGAACAACATACTGTGGATAGCCTGGTACCTGGAGGTCGCCGGTAAACCCGAGACTGTCTTTGAGAATAAGGTGAGTAAATAGCGTGTGTCTGTCTTTGTCTTCTCCTTCTCCTCCTCATGGTCCTCTTCTTCTTCCTTCGTTTACTCTTCTCCTACTCTTTATCTTTTTTCTTCTCTATTTTTCTAGTCTTCTTTCTCCTCTTTATCTTTTTTCTGCTCTATTTTTCTCCTCCTCTTCCTCCTCATCTTTCTCTCCCTCCTCTTCCTCCTCCTACTCTTCCTCCTCTTCATCAAAAACACCAGAAATACAATATCACTCAACAATTCTAAAATAACTCTATGTAATCAACTCAAACACCTTCACAATATTTTCATTAAAACTAAAAACTAAACGTTGCTTATGTTACACAGTGAATTAATTCCCTTCGTTTAACACTTCAGTCATTTTGAAATTATATCCGAGGGGGAAAAAAATAATTACTTTCGGTTCACACACTCTCTCTCTCTCTCTCTCTCTCTCTCTCTCTCTCTCTCTCTCTCTCTCTCAATGTAAAGAGAATATTTATCAATGCATCACTAATGTCAACTTAAAACCAAATTCTCTTTATACGTTTTTTGTAAATTTTCGAATAAAGTTTTTTTTTTTATGTAGTTACAATAGGTTAGGTTAGGTTCCATTTTACGTACATATAAGTTCACGACACCTAACACACCCCAGCTAACAAACCAACACACCCCAGCTAACAAACCAACACACCCCAGCTAACAAACCAACACACCCCAGCTAACAAACCAACACACCCCAGCCAACACCTCCCTCTCCCCGGCTTCATACTCCTGCTGGGGGCCTTCAGAGTAGTGGTTGAGGTGTGGGATGAATACCTAAGCTACACGCAGCCATCTTCTGAAACAAATATCTGGAGGAGTCTGGCAAACTATCTTCTTCTTTTTTTGTGTGTGTGAAGCTGAGTGGTGCATGTGTAGGGGAGGGAGGATAGGGAGGAGGGGGTAGGAAGAGGAGGGGGTTGGGAGGGATGGTAAGATGCAGGAGGAAGGGGAAGGAAGGATAGTAGATGAAGTGGTACTGTCTGTCTGTCTGTCTGTCTGTACACCACCACAACACCAGGACAACACTAGGACAACACCACCACAACACCAGGGCAGCACCACCACAACATCACCCCCAAACCCAAAACCTCCACACAGTCTCGCGTCTTTAACCAGAACGAGGCTGAGGCATGTGTGAAGTAATGGACTGAGGTAAATAGACTGAGTGTACGAGGTGCCCGACCAGTGCTATTTATAGTGGTGGAAGTGGATGACGCGACGGTGCTGCCACGGTGGTGACTCTGGGAACTACTGGGTGTTGCCACTCTCTCAAGTTGATCTTTGTTTATTTTTATTTACACACACATACACAGACACTCACACAGACAGACAGACACACACACACACACACACACACACACACACACACACAGCCAGGCCTCCTAAACAGAACAAACACACACATACATTTTCTCTTCACATATAAAAAAAAATCTGTATAAACTTAAACCATTCAGCAACCAGCAAACAGTTCTTGAGTCCATTAAACCACTGGTATGCGGGGGTCGAACTGGGGTCCTTGAGTTTTTCTTGAGAGACTGAGCCATTGTGTTATTGTTTGAGTGTGTTGTTGTGAGTGTTGTTGTTTGAGTGTGTTGTTGTTTGAGTGTGTTGTTGTGAGTGTTGTTGTTTGAGTGTGTTGATGTTTGAGTGTGTTATTGTGAGTGTGTTGTTTATATAATTGGAACCTTGATCTACAACCTAAAGATCACCATAACAACACAATTTACAACCAACAACAACATAAGGTATCATAAAAGATCCATTGATTAATAAAAAAAAAAAACTCGAACCAGGGAACTGTAGGTGTATGATAAGAGCCATGACCACTTTACCACGGCCTCCCCCCTCCCCCTCTTTGGGTAGACCAGACTGTCTCACACAAAGGTGCTGCCGCTGCCATCATCGACCATTGTCCTCAAATTAGGTGTTGAGCGCCAGGTATTATACAATGTTACAGAGATAAGAGATGTTTTGATTCTCAGTTTTAATTAAATCGGAGAGATAAATTACCGAGAGGAAAAGAAGTTGAGGAAATGAAAACGGTGGAAATGGGGAAGGAAGAGAGGAGGACTGGAAGGAGGTAGGAGAGGGAGGGAGGGGGAGGGAGGCAAGTGGATGGAAGGGGTAGGGAGGAAGGTACTGGTGAGAGGGGGATGTGGAGACGAGAGACAGAAGAAGGAAGGTAAAAGAGATGGAGGTAGAAAAGGAGGTAGGGAGGAAGAGTTAAGGTTAGTGGAGGAAAATGGAGGAGGATGAAGAAAGGAGGAGGGAGGAGGAGGAGGAGGAGGAGGAGGAGGAGGAGGAGGAGGAGGAGGAGGAAACATTACTAACACCTCACCCTCTTCGTCGTCACCCCCATCAGACAGGCTGCCAGGTCCTCCACATCTTCCTACATTACTTCATGGTGGCGAACTACTGCTGGATGTTCTCTGAGGGCCTCTACCTCCACACACTCCTGGTGGTGGCCTTCGTGTCTGAGGAGCGGCTCATGAAGTGGTTCTACCTGCTGGGGTGGGGCGCTCCTGGCCTCATTGTCACCGTCTACGCCGCTATCAGGGGCTCCTCCAGCTCCGACACCAAGCAGTAAGTATGAAAGAGAGAGAGAGAGAGATGTTGGTCTCTCTCTCTCTCTCTCTCTCTCTCAATCTCTCTCTCTCTCTCTCTCTCTCTCTCTCTCTCCCTTCGTTCACTCTAACATTTTCTCTTTCATAAAAAAACAAAATATAAAAATGAAATACCTGAGATGTTGACTTTTCATAATAGTAAAATAAAATGAGACCAGGTGAGTCATCTTAATATTTATAGTGAGTTAATACTGAGTGTGTGTCTGTCTATCTGACTGTCTGTCTGTCTATCTGTCTTGTCCTTTCATTTCCCCCCACTTCCCCTTCCTCTTTTTCCCTTTATTACAAACCCTCTCATCCCTCTCCCTTCCTCCTGCCCCCTCTCACAAGTTTCACGATAGACAATTAACCTCACTTTCCTAATTCTATCCCTCAACAGTTGCTGGATAGACGAGAGCCACTACACCCTCATCCTATCCACTCCAGTGTGTATATCTATCCTGGCCAACCTTGTGTTCCTGATCAACATAGTGAGGGTGTTGGTGACGAAGCTCAGAGCCAACCATGTTCCTGCTGACACCAATGGCACCAGGAAAGCTGTGAGGGCGACCTTGATCCTCATCCCTCTATTGGGTCTACACTACGTCCTCATGCCCTTCAGGTGAGTGAGTGAGTGAGTGAGTGAGTGAGTGAGTGAGGTGTAAAATGAGGAGGAAGAGGAGGAAGAAGAGAAGGAGGAGGAGGAAGATGACCAAGAGGACGAGGAGAAATATGGGGAAGAAGAGGAAGAGGAGGAGGACGAGGAGGAGGAGAAGGAGGACGAGGAGGAGGAGGAGGAGGAGGAGGAGGAGGAGGAGGAGGAGGAGGAGGAGGAGGAGGAGGAGGAGGAGGAGGAGGAGGATACTAAGTAACTAGATTTCCACTCGGTTGTAATTTCCATCAGTTAAGCGTATTCAAGGGTCCAATAATGACTGTCTGACTGGTTGATTCTCTGACTGTCTGACTGGTTGACTGATTACTGTCTTCGTGAGATATATTAAGTGAGCCAATTAACTAGTACTTCCTTAATTGCTCCTGAGCTCTTAGGACAGGATTTCATTCTTCTTATGTGGTGCTGAGGGGAGGAGGGTGTGTGTGTGTGTGTGTGTGTGTGTGTGTGTGTGTGTGTGTGTGTGTGTGTGTGTGTGTGTGTGTGTGTGTGTGTGTGTGTGTGTGATGCTGTACACTCGTTCTATTTATGTAGTTATGTTTTATACTCAACCAAACCAAACCAAACCACTTCATAAACAACGTATAATTAGAACTTAATAGTAGAGACAATAATTAAATGTCTTGTGTGTAAAGTTCCGTCTCTTGAAAGGTCTCGGGTTAAAACGGCAAAAAACATTAAGCCATTAGCGAATTTTATGAAGATGTGACCGCATTCTGATGACAGTTTCCCGCCCAGACATCTCAGATTTAATGGACTCGGGAAAAACTCTGAATAACATTTAGATTTTAAACGCGGCCTCTGATTTCCTCCTCACCAAGAGACAAAAAGAAAACAATTATCTAAACAATTTTCTATTTATTTCTATTTTTAAGACTATATTTACTACATTTTACTTACACTTTTATTTTATTATATTATGTGTTTTCATCTATATATGATAATTCTTTTATTTATTCTATTTTTTCGGGGTTTTGGGGGATTTGTTTTCATTCTGTTGATGCCGCCATAACACACGGTCTGTAAGTGAGGTGTAATGGCGGACTATTGATCTCGGGTTCATTATGGAGGGACTAACAGCTTCTCTGAGGACTTGTGGGGGCTCCTAATTGTATTATTCCAATGTTGTGGGGAGCTTGTGTGTGTGTGTGTGTGTGTGTGTGTGTGTGTGTGTGTGTGTGTGTGTGTTACGGGTCATTCTACAAGGTGAAGAGGTAGAAATGAAGGAGGAGGAGGAGGAGGGAGGAGGAGGAGGGGGGAGAAAGGAGGAGGCAGTGAGGAATGGAGAAAGGCACTCAAAGTGATTGGGATGGTGGGAAAGAGAGGAGAGAGAGAGTCATACAGGACTCGATAAATCTCCCTTCTAGATAATAATCCCCTCAGAAAAAATCCCCCTCCCCTACACACACGTCCCCGATAAATCACTAATTCACTCTGCTCTCAAACGAAAAAAATAAAATCCCTCAAAATAAAAAAAAATAAAAAAAATAAACGAATTTTAACTTAAACTCCAACATAAAAAGAAACCACTTAACCTACAATCCTTTTATCTCCAAGACACAATAAAAAAAACTAAAATCCCGAATGATAAAAACAACACAACGTCGACTACAGGTTCGTAGATTGGTGTCAACAAAGGCTCTTGTTACCCTTCCTCGCCCCTTGTGATGCTCTCAGCTTCGGAAGTAAACAAGGCTTGGGTCAGCACATGGTGAAAACAACTGATTAGCACAACACTATGAGTAACAGAGGGGTGGGAGGGGGTAGGGGTGGGTGGGGGGTTGACTGTACTGTTCTCTAATGGGGAAGTTTAATGTTACAACGTCTGTCTGTCTGTTTGGCTGTCAATATGTCTGTCTGTCTGTTTGTCTATCGGTCTAATTGTCTATCCATCAAACTGTCGATCTATCAGTCTATTAATGTCTTTTTTTCTCACTCATACCCTGGCGAGAGGCTCCTAACCTAACCAACTGTTACCATCTGTCACAGGCCAGCGCCGGGGTCCAACGGGGAGCTGGTATATCAGGTGGTGACAGCCCTCGTCTCCTCCTTCCAGGTGAGTCAGCTGGTAGTCAGGTGGTTCATAAGCGTGTCAGGTGAACGTCATTTGTATAAGGTATATCCCTGAGCCACGAAAAGTTACGACTTTAACTCATCTCAAATTCTAATAATAATAATAATAATAATAATAATAATAATAATAATAATAATAATAATAATAATAATAATAATAATAATAATAATAATAATAATAATAATAAATAGAGGGATATTTTCACATGTATAGGGAGTGAGTGAATCCCTCTGTCCCCTCCCCCCATAACACCCATCTCCCCCTCCCCCTCCCCCCTTCACTCCCTCCTTTCTGCCATAACCGGAAATTAAAACTCATATTTTTTTAACCTTTTTTTTTCAGGGGTTCTGCGTTGCCCTTCTGTTTTGTTTCTGCAACACTGAGGTGAGTGTGAGTCCCTCTCATGTATTCTGGAGTGTGTGTGTGTGTGTGTGTGTGTGTGTGTGTGTGTGTGTGTGTTAGATGGATTTAACAAGAAGAATATTATTTTTTTAAGTACTGTTTATTTATTGTATTTAGAAATGTTATTTTTTAATTGTTGTTGTTATTGTTAAAAGTAGTATTTGTATCATAAAGTGTTCTTCTTCTTTACTGTTCCTATACAATCCTTCTCATTCTCTATCTTCCACCTCCTCCTCCTCCTCCCTCTCCTTCTCTCCAATCGGCTCTCCCTTCCATCCCTCTTCCTCTTCCACCTCTCCCCTCCATTCCCTCATCTCCCCCAATCTCTTCCACCCCTCTCCCCTCCCACTCACCCTATTATCAAGAGGCAATCATTATAGAGTATCAATAGAACGATCCACTCTTAAACTTTATCAAAGGGGCCCGGATGTACCCCTTAGAATACTCTTTTACGTCTCCCTTTACATCCTCCCCTTAGATCTTTCCCTTTAGATCTATCCCTTAGTTGTTTCTCCTTAGATAATTTCCTTAGTTCTTTCCCTTTAGATACCCCCCTTAGGCCTTTCCCTTAGAGTTAACCATTAAATCCCCCCTTATATATCATCTCTAGAACACATCCTCACATCTCCCCTTTAGTATTCCCCTAAGTCCCATTACCCCTTAAATTTTCTAATACCTAACAAATATCCCCTAACAAGATTCTAACACCAGTTAATTTGACCTAACACCTTTCTAATAACTCCTAACACCTCCTAACATCTTCTAACACCACATAATATCATCTTAACACCTTCTGACACCCTAACACCCTCCTAACACCCTCTAACACGGTCAAGGACGTTACTAACATCTTCTAGTTTTACTTAACACTGCTTTAAACATCCTAACACCCTTCTACCACCCTCTAACACACTTCTTTCCCTGGCAGGTAACCACGGCGATGAAGAAGAAGTGGCAGCAGTACCAATTCAACCACGGCTCCACCAGGTTCAGTCTCACCACCGCCTGCGTGCTCTCTGTTAATGTAAGTACCTGTGTCTCTACCTGTAATACCTGTGTCTCTACCTGTAATACCTGTGTCTCTACCTGTAATACCTGTGTCTCTACCTGTAATACCTGTGCCTCTACCTGTAATACCTGTGTCTCTACCTGTAATACCTGTGTCTCTACCTGTAATACCTGTGCCTCTACCTGTAATACCTGTGCCTCTACCTGTATACCTGTGTCTCTACCTGTAATACCTGTGCCTCTACCTGTAATACCTGTGCCTCTACCTGTAATACCTGTACCTGTAATACCTGTGTCTCTACCTGTAATACCTGTGTCTCACCTGTAATACCTGTGCCTCTACCTGTAATACCTGTGTCTCTACCTGTAATACCTGTGCCTCTACCTGTAATACCTGTGTCTCTACCTGTACCTGTGTCTCTACACCTACCTGTACCTGTGCCTCTACCTGTAATACCTGTGCCTACTACCTGTAATACCTGTGTAATACCTCTACCTGTAATACCTGTGCCTCTACCTGTAATACCTGTGCCTCTACTACCTGTGTCTCTACCTGTAATACCTGTGTCTCTACCTGTAATACCTGTGTCTCTACCTGTAATACCTGTGTCTCTACCTGTAATACCTGTGTCTCTACCTGTAATACCTGTGTCTCTACCTGTAATACCTGTGTCTCTACCTGTAATACCTGTGTCTCTACCTGTAATATCTGTGCCTCTACCTGTAATATCTGTGTCTCTACCTGTAATACATATGTCTCTACCTGAAATACGTGTGTAATAACTGTAGACTCGAACCTGTAAACCACAACTTCTACCTGTAAACTATTACCTTCACCTGTGTACCTGTTGACCTGTAAAGCACTACCTCGACTTGTACCTGTAAACCATTATCCTACCTACTAGTAATTAACATATCACCTGCCTTCACAAAGAGCTTCTCCAGGCCTTACAATACAACAATAACAAAGACTTTTGCCTACATCTTAAGCTACTGGAGTTTTACATAGTAATTACAGGTTTTAGTGTGTGTTATTGTTTCGTTATTGTTTGTAATTGAATAAGTGGCGTGTGTGTGTGTGTGTGTGTGTGTGTGTGTGTGTGTGTGTGTGTGTGTGTACTCAAGGGGTTAAATAACTATAACATAACACAATAGCTATAACAAACACAGATCAAGTTCCACCGTTTATTACACAAGAATCATTTTGTCTGAGTAATAAAGGCGATTCAACAATATAGGTGTTTTTGTGTCTGTGTAAATGTTTGTGTATTTACCTGTGTGTTTGTGTATATACGTAGCTCTGCTTGTGTTTGTTTATTTGTACGTTTGTGTGTTTGTGTGACGTGGGTGTGCATGACTGTATGCTTGTCTCTTGTAGTTGAAAGGGACGACTGATTCAGAAATAAATTGGATGGATGACATTTCCCAGAATCCATAACACGACACGACATAACATAACATAACATAACATAACATAACATAACATAACATAACATAACGCTGTCTTCCTTTCTCCTGTCAGGGCGGTAACAGCAGGGGCTCTACAGCTCCCCACGGTTCCTCAGTCCTCAGGAGGACGTTCAGCCGAGGGAACCATCACCACCGTCAGGACATGTTGGAGATACCTGGGGAAGGGTCTCCATGGGCCAACACCCGTAGCATCGTGATGGAGAACCCCAGCTTACTCATGGAGACCAGAAGTGTCGTGGAGGAGGATTACTTCGGCTCCAGAGAGGATTGTGTTGGAGGTGAAAGCCAACACTCAGCCCTGGTGGAAATGCAGGCTGTAGGAGACGTCAGAAACAACGTAGTGGTGGAGACGCATAACTACGCCAAGGTGGAGAAGGTGGTGTTAGTTGACCCTCCAAACATCGTAGTTGTGGAGCCTGATTACTGTTCCTTGCTGGAGAACGGGGCGATGGAGGACACTGAAGGTGGAGACACAACAGCAGGAGGAGGACGTAGGGGTGAAGGAGGGGTGCTAAATCCTGTAGGAGATGTGATGGAGGGTGGTGAGGCCCTAGAACTCTCCCCTGTCAAAGCCTCCGTCCATCAGTCTTAATTAAAGGTGTTTATTGTCCCGTAGAGCGAAACCCCTGGCAGACCATAAGGAAGTTTTCTCTATGTTTATATGTCAGCCAGATGTCACCGAGGCCGGATGTCACCGAGGCCGGATGTCACCGAGGCCGGATGTCACCGAGGCCGGATGTCACTGAGGCCATATATCACCGAGGCAAGACGTCACCGATGCCAGATATCTCCAAAGCCAGATACATAAAACATGAAGTTATCGACCAGGTGTCTCTGAGGCTCAATCAGTAAGCAACATTTCTCCTATGCCAGATATATCTTACGCTAGTTAGTTAAAACCTCGAGTATCAGCCGGATAACTCTTAATACCGGATGCGTAATCCACATTTATCCAGATACACAAGTCTCTCTAGAGCCAGATATTCCTCATGTAAGATGTTTCTCAAGTCAGATATGTATCCTAAGGCAGATATATCTCACACTAGATGTCTCAAATTATATATGTCTCACGCCAGATGTCTCTCTAGCCACTTGTATCGATTTGGTGTTCGTTTCGGCCTGATATCTCTCAAGCCAGATGTCTCTTGAACTAGATGTTTATCGGGTGTGAAATGTCAGCCGGATGTAGAGTAGAAATGATGTATACATAATGAAATGATAGGGAGAGAAAAAGAGAGAGATGAAGAACTGATATAATAACATGATGAAGTGTAGGAGACATAGCGAAGATAAAAGAGAAAGAAAGATAGAGAGATCAAATATAAGTATAACATAGTAGAAGCAACGAAGAGATAATAGGTGAGATAACGAATATTAGAGGAAATTAGAGACATAGAGATAGAGTAACTTAGAAATAACTCACTTTAAACAAACAAGAATTTACTCCTGAAAATATACGATCAATAATTCAGTTCCAATAATACTTCCTGACCATAGGATCTGTTTACCTGATTTACAAGGTGAAAAAAACAGCACCTCAGCTGTGACATATCAAGTTTGTGATTTACGTAAATATATTTGCAAAAGGAACACAGAAGAATTGACAATAATGACCAGAAAAGTTTGTAAATAATGAAATGAAAAAAAGAAAAGAAATGTAATGAAGAAAATTATGAGATGATATATAGACAAAAATGTAAATAGTAAGTTTGATGATAATTTAAATAATTAAATGATAATGAAAGTGATAATAAATGTTTATAATATTCTACTTATTACTATTAATTTGCTGGCGACTTTGACGATAACAGAAGACAATAGAAATTACTAGCAGAAGTTATCTCTCCATTGTGAGTTATACATTAATATATAAAGATAAATAATAACTTTTTATACAGATTAAAGATAATAATTTACATGTCATTGTAAGTATAAATAGTATACCATTAGTTGTTTTACGAAACGTTTTGTAAAAATAAATTTATAATCTTTGAAGAAATAATAAATAATTAACCTGTGTTTTTTTTTTAAGGACTTCTCCGGTAAAAAACTTTATACATATTTTTTAAATCTGAGTTTTATTCCCAGATTAAACTGAATATAATAATTGTGTAAAAACTCCGGATTTCCTGCATGGCTGATGACGCCACGGCAGGTATTAAAGAAGAAACGTATAAAATAATCTGAAATAACCGCCAGGTGTTAGTTCGTTTTAATATTACAGGAGTTAAATGTAATTAAAATGTGACACTGACGCCAGACAATGAGCAAATGATTTAAATTAATTGCTTTTGTTTGTTTGTGGAGTAAATAAACCATACAGGTATTTAATGACGTATTGGTGTAATTAGTATCACCGTGACGTCATACTTGTACCGTTTCTAAAGACCTAGTTAGGGACAAGCTTTCTCCTAACCTAACCTAACCTAACCCAACCAAACTAAACCTACACCACAAAATAATCCCACAATTATATTTCTAACCAAACTTCATAAATAATCATAAATATAATATCGAAGAAAATTACATTACCTGGAGTTGTCATTTAAGAATAGGTAATTAAGGTAATATTAATTAGACATAATAAAACACACTGTTAAGACCTTGGCCTTCCCTCACGCCTTTCTCACATAACAGCATTGGGGGTGTTGTTTAAGACGTGAGGTGACGAGCCAAGGGTGTGTGTGTGTGTGTGTGTGTGTGTGTGTGTGTGTGTGTGCTTATATATATATATATATATATATATATATATATATATATATATATATATATATATATATATATATATATATATATATATATATATATATATATATATATATATATGTGTGTGTGTGTATCTGTTTATGTATGTATATGTGTATGTATGTGTATGTATGTATATGTTCACAAGACAATATTACCAAGGGTTGTGTATAAACTGTATATAGTAAACAACGTGGTCTATTTTCACGGTATTTTTTACCTGGCGCTGTTTACCTGATAATACCTGTTAGAAATTAGTAATAAGGTGTGACTCTTTGTATGAATATATATGCACACATATGTATAAAAACATCTGTATTTATGGGCAATGATGATGATGATGATGATGATGATGATGATGATGATATATATATTGTATGAATATGTTTGATTTTGTGCTGAACGGATCATACAATAAATGTGTATTATCCCTCTTGTTTTATTATCATATAAATTATATAAATTCCCCAACATTTTATCTTCTATAAACTATATTCCCTATTATATAAATGTTTATTATATAAATTATCCGAACAGACAGACACACAGACAGACACACACACACACACACACACACACACACACACACACACACACAAAAGCTCTGTATATTTTAATCAGCATCTCTTTTCCCACCAGAACTTCAGAGTTAAGAAATAAACAGAAAAAAAGAAGAAGAAAACACAAAAAGAGAGAGAAACCTTAAACGAAAAACACAGGAGAGGAAGAGATTGAGGCGCCACCCGGCCCCAGGAAAACCGCCAAGAAGGAAGGCCTGGAAAGCATCGTCGAGTCCTGGAAACTGCTATTGGCATAATCGCCCTAATGGAAGGATTACTTTCGGGTCATTTTACCTTTCTTGTAACGGTTTTAGGGTTTCTGGAACGGATTAATGATTTCTGGAATGGATTTATCATTTCTGGAACGGCTTGTAAGGTTTCTGGGGCGACTTTAAAATTTCTGGAACGGTTTTACGATTTCTGGAACGGCTTTTTTTCTCCAGAACGGCCAATACTATTTTAAAATGGCCCAAATTGTGTCGGGAAAAAAAAAGATAAAAATGAATAATATAACCTTTAACTTTCCAATAACGGGCGTGGGTTCCTTAAATAGCCTTGATGTGATTGCAACGACCTTCAAGACCTTGTCAGCTCCCTAGATCAATTCCCTGAAGACATTCCAATAGAGGTCAATGATAAAAAAAAAAAGGAATTTCCTGAGCCACGTTGAAGACAAATTGAGGTAAAGTCTTTGTGGTGGAGAGGTTTATGTCAGGTCTTAGTGTGGGGGATGGCTGGAAGTATTTAAAGGTCGTTGTTGTTGTTGTTGTTGGTGGTGGTGGTGGTGGTGGTGGTGGTGGTGGTGGTGGTAGTGTTGGGTTATTATTATTATTATTATTATTATTATTATTATTATTACTATTATTATTATTATTATTATTATTATTATTATTATTATTACTATTATTATTATTATTATTATTATTATTATTATTATTATTATTATTATTACTATTATTATTATTATTATTATTATTATTATTATTATTATTATTATTATTATCATTATTATTATTATTATGCTCTCCCAATTTGCATGATATGGACGATAGTTTACCCCTTTGATGACGATGTTTTAACCCTTGCAGTATGAATTAAACATTTTTTACCAAGAGACATATAAAGCAACGAAAGAATCTTGTTGTCATTGTGAACTGGAAAACTAGATCAACAAAAATATCCCTCGGGACTTGAGACAAACAAAGACACGTGAACAGTAAACAGATGCAGATACAAAACATCACATGGAAATACAAATACTACTCGTACATGAAGGAGAATATTATTTTTAAATCTATTTCATCAAGGTCAGGAATTGAGAAGAGTGTCTTAGAATGTATGAAATATATTCACAAGTTATGAGTGTATGAGGAGTCATGAGGGGAGAGAGAGAGAGAGGCTAAAGGAGTAAAAAGAATAAAAACTAATGTATGAAATATTGAATAAAGTGAATAAAAGAGTATTTGAAAAATTTGTGAATTAAGGAAGTGTTAAATGGAGAAAGAGATGCGAAGCGTAAAAGAATAAAGGGATGAACAAGATAATAAAAGAGAATAGGAAGAGGGAGAGGCAGAGAGAAATGATGGTGCGAATGATGGCCCCACACACACACACACACACACACACTTGTTTTAAAGGAAAATATTAAATATCACTTAGTGGTTTGTTGACATAAGAATAGTTAATAGCTCCCCACAACACCTGTCTGGCAAGGTTAATTACTCAGGTAATTAATGGATGGAGGGGAAGACTCAGGGTCCTGTGGGAAGGTAAACACCTCTCTCTCTCTCTCTCTCTCTCTCTCTCTCTCTCTCCGACTCTTAAAACTAAAATCCAAATGTCAGCATCAGTGGAGAGATGAGGAAGATATTGGAAAGAGAAAGAGAGAAGGATATGAAAAAGAAAGCTAAAAAAACACAAAGAAAGAGGATGATGAGAAAGACAAAGTATAAGAAAATATAAAAACAAGATAGAAGCAGAAAGATAAACAAATAAATAAAGAAGAGAAAGTGAGAGAAAGAGAAAAAGTGAGATAGAATGAAACCAATCACAATTAAGAGTTATATGAGTAATATCTCTCAGTTTATTGGCCCTTTGTTTCTTTAAATACATCAAAGGCAGGTTGTAGAGGTGACACCCAAAAGTCTCTGCACACATCTGGCAATACCTGACACCTATACATTTAAATTGGATTATATATATATATACCTGTACCTAACCTAACCTAACCTAACCTAACCTAACCTAACCAGACCAAACCAAATCTATAATAATCAGTTTTTAGAGGATATTAATAAAAAAAATCGTTACTCTCCAAAATTTACAATGATTTATGGAGAGTACCAGTTAGTGCCAAATGTGTTGAGGGGGGAGGGGGGGGAGAGGGGAGGGGGGATTTTAGTGCCTCTCTGTTCAGTTCTGACCAGCCCCTTACCCTCTACGTCCTGGTTGAGTTATTTATGGCTTTAACCATCGGGACGTAGAGTAGAGGCACCTGGGGACAGTGCCAGGTTAATCCAGACTTAGATGAAACTTTGGTAGGATAGGTCTGTGTCTGTCTGTCTCTCTGTCTCTCTGTCTGTCTGTCTGTCTGTCTGTCTGTCTATCTGTCTCTGTCTGTTTCTGCCTGTCTGTCTTTCTCTGTCTCTCTTTCTCGCTTTCGAAAATAGGATAAAACAGACTAAGCCAGACAGATATAGACACAGAAACACAGACACAGACACAGACACTCACAGACACACACGGACACAGACACTCACAGACACACACGGACACAGACACTCACAGACACACACGGACACAGAGACACTCAAACACGCTTACAATTTCCTAAGAGATTAATTGAATGAGAGAAGCAATGGACCAATTACAACGACGAATGGGGGGAGGTGACGAGAAAGATGTAATTTAATTGGTCGAAAAAGAAAAAAAACGACGCGAGGAATTAAAGTAGAACGTTGCCAATTATGCATTCAATAATATAATGGACAGACAGACAGATAAAGAAAGACAGAGTGAAAATGATAAAGACACAGACAGAAAGAATAAAGAGAGAATAAATTTTAAATGAAAACAGAGAGAATAAAGAAAGGAAAACAGACAAGACATTAATAATAAAAACGAAAAAAAAAAAAAATAGGTTGCAACAAAGATCATGTCAGTCAGTGTTGCTAACGAAAGATAATTACCGAGGTAGCAATAAGGCAGGAAGGTTTCGTCAGCGTTGCCAACAGATGCGTTCGTAACTCGTAAATCCTGAATCCAGATCCTCAAAGGATTTCCCACGTAATTGTGGATAAGAGAACGCCTGTAATGTCGGTAGAGTCTCAGTGTAATTTGGGCGTCATATTGAGAACGATATTTGTATCTTCACTAT